TTACATCAACATCAACTAAGGTTGTGTTGAGGACTCTCCTCAGGATATTAGCAAGCACTAGCAATAGTGCCCGCGCGATGCTGCGGATTTTAAAACTGTATAAAACATGCAAAAAATTCTAAATACACACGATATGCAATACTATTTATATACATACAGAAATCTATTTACAAAGATATGGATTGGCAGTTCTATTGCCATTGTTCTAATATTCACATCTTTTACAAATTTACATACAAAAGATAATATTTGATGTGTATTTACATCTATTTACACACAAAAGATTGGGTAGATAGTCCCTATTGATATCCTCATGAAATAGGCAGATAATCAGCTTATTTTACCCAATCATAACCAAACTGTGTGGTTGCAATTGACTTTAAGTTGTTAATGGAACAAAGTACCTGAAGTCGAAGATAAACCTGGTGAATGTAGAAATCTTCAAGCCCTAAACAAATTGGCCTTGCTTTTTGCAACAAAACAATCTTTTTATGACAGAAAATTACAGGAAAAACTTTTAGAAATGGAAATAAAATTAAGTCAAATGATTAGGGAACCAAAAGTTTACTGGACCATACACAGAAATAAAATTCAAATTAAAAAAAAAAATTCTCAAATACACAGAGCATGACAATTTTAAACATACAAAAGCGAAACAATATCATCAGAGCAAATAATAACATGAAATTGAAAACTCATTAACAATTTATTAAGCATATATAGGTACACCCAACAGATAATCTTATTTAATCACACCATTTTAATTTATCAAACTGATTATTTAATACTGTCATGCACAACAATATTTTACCATAATGAACTCTTACAATACTCTCTCATCCCAGTCGCATTTTTTGTTAAAATTTTGTTTGCTTTACTTGACACACCCCAGCCGAGATCAGGGCATGCTGGCCGTCACCCGGAGGTGACGTAGCCATGTGCACGTGCGGAAGCTAGAGAAAGTAATGTAAAAGTACGAATAAATTAAAACCTAGCATACAAAGTATTAAGACAAGTACTAGTGTATGTGAGACGCTAAGTTCAGAGCAAGACTACAGCAGTCCAAAGAAAATAACACGACAATAATACACCCGAAGGTGACCCTACATTGGTGAGTATCTGTCAGAAATGCCGGGACGCCCTCTAGGAAGACCACCGCAACCGCTAAGCAACTAGAACCTGGAGGGGCGCAAAACAAAAGCGTGAGTGGGCAAAAACAAAGCTCTTTGAAAACTCTTTAACAAAACACATTCTAACCCCTCGCCGTAAAACCTGTATACATCCCAGAAAGTGAACGTATATACATATGTATAGATATGCCAATCATGCTCCAAGATATGCCATTCATGCTCGAGAATATGTCACATCGGAATCTCATAATAAATGTAAATGCTCAAGCATAACTCTTATCAATAACATCTAATCTAGCAGCCGGGAGTCACCTAACGTGACCTGTACGGCGGCCTATAGAGCTCCAATCTCAACTCACTAACCGAATCTGCACACGAGTCGGAACCACCTAACGTGGTCTGTACGACAGGCTTGGTGTAATATATATACGCTCTAGTGCTACGATCACGTGAAGCTGTGCGATAAATCGCGGGTCACCTACGAGTCGGAACCACCTAATGTGGTCTGTACGACAGGCTGTGCACCTAACCTGGATCCAAGCTGAGCGTGTGGTGCGGGAGGTGAACATACACGTGAAGGCTATGCCCTGGCCACGGGCGGGAGCACTAACACCGGGGTGCAGATAATGAGCTCTCTAAACATCTCAAACTACAACTGTATAACATCATGAAACCACTTACCTGGCACTTACCTGTGCGTCCACAGCACCAAATACAATTATATAAATGTATGCCGTTACTAATGTATGTGATGATGCATGAGCGATAATACTAAAGTGCATGGCATAAATCAATTAACTCTTTTTATTCTATTTCTGCGAATTTAAAGTATATAGGTATATACGGAAAACAAAAGCCCACTCACTGATAAGTGGAAGGGTCGTAGCCCCCCTGCCTCGAGTGAATACGCTCGTCCTCGGAGTACGTATCACCTATACGCGAAAAAGCTACGAAAACGTCAATTTCAAAGCACATAACCAATTCCTTGTAATAATCTCTCATACATTGCTCAAAATGGACAAATGAATATACCAAAGTGATCTACACAACCTCAGGATCACACCCATATTTTTATATTGATTTTTGGACCACGCACGCGCCCCCACGCGCCTGAAATGGCACGGACCCACGCGCCCCCACGCGCGGTCACGTGCAACGCACACTGACGGCGTCAACTGACGCCGTCAGGAATATTCCGTTTGACTGACGGAATATTCCCTAACTGACGCCGTTACTCCTTTAGGAATATTCCGTTAAAACTTAACGGAATATTCCCCTTCCTTCTCCGGCGAGCCACCGCCGGAAAACTGCAAAATTTTCAAACTTTGTTTTCTCACTCGTTTTTCAACCATTTTTCACGTTCTTTATACCAAAATGAAGCTTAGGACTAGTAGAATCACGTTAGACTACTTTTAAGGCCTAAAAATCAAAGAATCTCACCTGCAACAACGATCCAAATTCGGCCAACTTTGAACTAAGCTTTCCCAACGTCCAAATTCACCCAACGAAGCATTCCCAAGCTCCTTGAGACCTCACTAACACATCTACAAGCTTAAAATGTCCAAAAACTAACTAGATTAAGTTTGCATGAATAGTGTTCAAAACGGATTACTTCGAATCGACGTGAAAATGGTGGTTTCCTTACCTGGAAATGGCACCACTGGACTCCTCTCAGCTCCACGAGTTCAATGGTATAATTGGTTTCTTGATTGGTGAAGATTTGAGTATGTTTGTGTGTGTGTCCGTGTGTTGGAGAAAGGAGAAGATGAAGAAGAAGAGAGCTCGGAGAGAGAGAGAGAGTGAGACAGAAAAGAGACATAGGAGAGGGAATCAGGGAAAGGTAGAGGAAAAAGAGAAAATGACAGGTGTGTGTGTGTGTGTCTCACACATTTCCACACTACCCGAAACTACACTAAACGCAATTTTAACGAACTAGGGGTAAAAAGGTAAATTCACACGTACGTTTTATAGTTTTTGGAACGGGATGTCACATTACTTCCATCCATAAGTTTAATATCTTTTCACTGTTTTTCAAATCTTGACGAAACTATGAAGACACAAACAACAGCACTCAACTCCTTTTTCAACCCTGTATCCAATTACACAAATAAGAATGCAGCATTTTTATTAAAGCATGTAATTCTCCTCTTCCTATATTCTTCCCCTTTCTCTAACCAAATAAAAATTTCCAAAACTATATACGAATTTTTTTTTTTATATAAAAAGTGATACATAATTAAAGCAAACAAAGAAAAAACACGAAAACTCAATTACTTTGTTAGCAACCAGCAGCAAAATGTTTCATCTTCTCACCAATTAATAAGTCAGTAAACAAATGACTAAACTTTCTTCATCACAAAAGGCTAAAAGCAAAAAACAAAAATCACTCACCTTAATGATAAAGCACTTTGAACAGTCGCATCATCTCATTGTGTAGAAACTGAAAATCTGTAAAGTGTTAACATTTAAACAGATATCAAAAATGGCATCATCACTTGGATTAATTCTGTAAGAAAGTCAATGACAACTGTAACATAAGCATCCAAACACCAAATTAAATGCAGAAACATGGCAACCCATAACATAAACTAAATTCCAGATGAATAGAAAACAATATTACAGCAAAAGAACTCCAAACATAAAAAAATCCCAAACCAATTGAAAAAAATAACCAAAACCAAAACAGACCAACTCAGGGTCATTGACATAGTTATTTAAAGAAAGCTTCCCAATACTGATGAAACGACACTTCACCCTTGCATTGGAGCAGTCTTTTATTTTCAAGCTTCAACCAATGAGTATATTCAACCAATAGCTGAGTTTGGAAATATACAGCATAGATAATAATTTTCCTGAATTAAACTCAAATCATATATATATGAAATTTTTTAAAATCATGAATAATCCAAATTCCAGTCCAAAAAAACTACAAACATGCAAAACCCAAATCAAATCTTCAAGTCATTTCAGATTTTATCAATAACTCACCAACCCAATACACACAAAAGAGTAAATTACCTGAGATCGCGGCTGCTCAAGTAGTTTCTAAGGACATGCAGATTGTGCCTTTAAGTTTCAAGGTTTTTACTATGGAATCGAAGCAAAACCCAGATCAAATTCTAAGTGGGTTTATCAAAAATAATAATTTATTCAGGAATCAATACTGAAAATAAATCAGAAATTAACATTGAAAATAAATTAAGAATGCAAAAAAATTGAAATTTTCATACCTCTAAGTTTTTGGGTTTTACTGTGGAATCCAATTGCGAACCACCTAAAAAACGAAATCACGTACGCTGAGCAAAAATCACCTGAACACGTTAGACTACGCAAGCAAAAAACGGATTTCAATCGAATTGAAAAAGGCAGAAATCTGTAGCCCCTCCACCGTTCACGAATCGAGCAGTTTTCCGGAAGAAAAACGAAGGTGAAAAATCGGACGGAGAAAGTTGCAAAGGGTGGACACCAAGAACAACACCGGCGTGGAAGAGAAAAAATGTTCGACAATTTGCAGAAGCTGAGGATGGGGAGAAAGAAGCGAATGGGAAAAACAACGAAGAAATCAAAGGAGAAGGATCAGCGATGATAGACGCGTGGCCACCGAGGGCAATGTCGCCATTTCACTGGTCATCCACAGTACTCAACCCCTACTGGTTTTAGTATATATGATATCAGGAGGGTTCTCAACCCAAATCAACTCCCCTGTTGCTTGCAAACCCGCCCGAGCCAAACGATGGGCATCACTGTTCCCCTCACGTCGAATGAAGCTTGTCAATGCATGAACAAAACCTCGCAGGAGAATATAATTATCATTGATGATAGGACCCAAAATGGAGTGATCATCGCCCTCCCCATTCATTGCCACAATGGTCAAGCTGAAATCCCTTCGAAAATGATCCCTGAGCTGCATGAAACTATTTCATGAGCAAATTGCAAGGCTCGCCGAGCTGCCAAGAGCTCTACTTGTAGAGCCGAACCGACATCTTCCTCCACAGCCGCAAGACCCGCAAAAAATTCACCACTACAGTTGCGAATAATCACCCCAACACCACCTTTCCTCAATCTCTCATCCCAAGCACCATTGAAGTTACACTTCAAGAAACCTATGTCAGGAGGAGACCACTTTTGTATGGTATGTATCGATACCATTTTGCTGGGAGAGTGATAGTGCCTAAAAGCAAGCATCCATTCCTCGGCTCTCAAAGCCACATCACGCAAGTGAGTGATTGTACCTTTCCACAAAAGATCATTGTGAGCTCTCCAAAGGTTCCATACAGTTGTCAACACCAAGTCAAAAGTCAACTTGGAGGAATCATGAACAAGCTTAGTTACCCAATCTCTGAAACATACTGATGAATTACCTTGGCCTCTAATGCCCAAACTCGCGAACCATATTGCTCGAGCCATCGAGCAATCTCTCAGCACATGCTCAACAGCTTCTGGCTGCCCGGAGCAAAACAAACACTCTGTTTCCTAGACAATACGTTTTGTAGCAAGTTTTGTTATGGTCGGTAGAGAATCCAAACACCCCCTCCGAACACATATTTTTACCTTACCAGAAACACAAGCATTCCATAGTCTTTTCCAGATTATCGAATCTTGGGAATTCGAACCTGACGTTCTAGCATCCACCTCTCTCCTTGCCAAGTAAGAAGCACTCTTCACTGAGAAAATACCATTCCGTTCGTAATGCCAAACTTGTCTATCAAACATACGTCGAATACTGAGAGGGATGCTCTGAATAACTTCCGCTTCTTCTAAGCTAAACAATCGATGAAGCATGTTTTTGTTCCAAGTTCGTGTCCCATCCAAAAACAAACTCTCCACCGTGGCCTCAAGTAGTGGCAGCAATGGAGGGGGAGTGAAAACTTTGAAATAATTCTCTCTCGGCAACCAATTATCGCACCAATTTTTACACACGAACCACCTCCCCCTTGCCAACGTAGACCTTTGGGGGGCGTTTGTTTGCCCTCACTAAGTTGGACTGGACTGGACTGGACTAGCTTTTAGTCCAATACTGTGTTTGTTCCATGCTGGGACTAACGTTAATGAGACTAAAGGGGACTAGCATAGACAAAACCCTTCACTAAGAGGTCTTAGCGAGACCCCCCAATAACCATGGGACTAGCTAAGACTATCCTCTCTTTCTCGTCCTCGTCATGCTCAACGACCACTCTCGACAGACTCCTCGTCATCTCCGGTCACCTAGATCAATCATTAACTTTCCGACTCTCTTTCAGATCCATTTCACAACCAACTTTCATACAAAATATACCAAATTGAAGCTGGAAGTGACAAGATTACGATTTTACCTGAATCGAGGCCAAAATGTGGTCGAATGTGGCTGGAAAATGGCCTGGAAATCTCGGCTTGTTTGGGCTTCTTCAAATCCATGACAGATTCGAGCATTCAAATCTAAGATCTCAGTCCAGGGATGGTGATGAATATTTTGGCGGTGCTAACTTCATCCAATTTAACGAGGAAATGGTAGGAAAAAATGAAGAAAAAGATAAGATCATAATAAAATATTAATAATTTATATATTAAATAATATAATATTATAATTTGTTATTATCCAGTTTCTTAGTCCAATACTGCACCAAACGCTTCACTAAGTTAGTCCAGTTTAGTCTAGTCTAAGCCAGTCTAACTTAGTCCTTGAAGCTAATCCAGTCCGAGATAGTCCGGCGCAACAAACGCCCCCTTAGAGATCACTGGACGAGTGGCTGCAATACTACGCCATACAAACGATGCGTTTGTCTTCATTGGTGCGCTCAAGAAATCTGTGGAAGGAAAGTACCGTGCTTTGAAAAGAGTGAAAGCTAACGAATGAGGCTGCATGATAAATCTCCACCCCTGTTTCGCAAGAAGAGCGATGTTAAAATCATAGAGATCTCTGAAACCCAAACCCCTTTCCTCTTTTGATTTACATAAGGTTCGCCAGTTCACCCAATGAATTTTGCGCTTCCCGGGTTCTCCACTCCACCAAAACTTGGCTATCATCGTGTTCAATTCCTCACAGAGACATTTTGGAAGAGGGAAGCACTGCATAGTATACATTAGTAATGCCTGAGCCACGGTCTTACTAGTAATTCTTTCCCTGCACTACTCAAAATGCCTTCACGCCACCACGCCACCCCTGCAGTTTTTCCATCCATTTTAGATTTTCATACAAAAACCAGTAACCCGAGATACCTATCATGGGCCTGCACTTTTCGAACACCCAAGCAATCTGCCAATGGTTGTTGATCACACTCTGTGAGATTAGGGCTAAAAGCCACACAACTCGTTATAAAATTAACTGCTTGCCCCGATGCAAGCTCATACTTCATCAAAACTGATTTTATATTTTGACATTCATCCAGAGTGCCTTTAACAAATAGAAAGCTATCATATGCGAACAAGAGATGGCTTATACTTGGAGCGTTTTTACAAAGCGCAAGACCTTTAATAAGTCCTCTTTTCTCCGCATTTCATAAGGTCGCCGAGAGACCTTCGGCACACTACACAAATAATGAAGGAGAAAGCGGATCTCCTTGTTGAATACCACGTTTAGGAGAAACAAAAACCACTGGTTCACCATTTACTTTAAAAGAATAAGTGACCATGGACACACAAATCATCGCCAATCGATTCCACTCCTCAGAGAAACCCATGCATTTCATTATAGACTCCAAAAAGTTCCATTCCAACCTATCATATGCCTTACTAATATCTAGCTTTAAAGCCACAACTCCGTTCCAGCCCGAGCTACGTTTATGCATGTGATGTGCTATTTCTGCCGCCACTAAAGTATTATCAGAAATTATTCTTCCCGGTATGAAAGCACTCTGAGTGGGATTAATAATCTTCGGCATGATACTCTTAAAGCCTATTTGTGAGAACCTTTGCAACAATCTTGTAAACGACATTGCACAAACTTTCGGAATCAGGGTAACATGTGTACAATTAATTTTGCGGAGCATGCAACCTGACTGCAGCATCAAACGAACGCCACCACAAACATCAGCGCCTACCACATCCCAATGTTTCTGGTAGAATCCATGAGACAAGCCATCCGGACCAGGGGACTTGGTCGGATGCATTCGAAACAGTGCTTCCTTAACTTCCTCATTGGAGACAATACGAAGGAGATCAGCATTCATCACATCGTTAACTCTGGGTGTAATGTGGTCCAACACCATATTTAAATTTCCCCCACCATCTGAATCAAATAACTTAGTGAAATAATCCACCACCACACGTTACATACCAGGTTTGTTGTCATGCCAATCCCCGTTCTCATCCTTTAGCCTGTGGATCCAATTTTTCCTTTGCCTACGAGTAGCTTTCTGATGGAAATGCCTGGTATTACGATCCTCTAGCTTTAACCAGTTCTCCTTAGATCTCTGGCGCCAGAAAACTTCCTCTTGTTCCAATAGGGAGTTTAACTTAGCTAGCAAATATTTTTTTCTGTACAGTCGACGATTCCGTGAAAGGTAACCCAAGCAAAACCGTGAGTTTTTCTTCGACCTAGGCAATCTCTTTTGGCCCCTGTCTTGCATTGTCTCGAGCCCATTTGGATAACCAAATCCTTGTCACCTTAAGTTTCTCCGTCACTCTGAACATCTAAACTCCCGTTACACTAATCTCCCAGCCACTCTTTACCACCTCACGACATCCCTCTTGCTCAGACCAACGTTGCTCGTAACGAAAGCTCTTCCTACCTTTCATGCGAATTCTACCATCCCATCCAACAAGTAACGGTGTATGATTCGAAGTTGATTTCTTAAGATGGTGAACCTTAAAACCTGGAAAAAGATCCATCCAAGATTGATTCGCTACAGCCCTATCAAGCCTGACTTTGATTCCGCCATCACGCGTCGTAAACCACGTAAATTTATTTCCCACGAAACCCAAATCCAAAAGCTGACAAGAGCATCCCGAAACCCAGCAATTTGCCTTCCATCTCGCGGATTGCCACCTTCCTGTTCATGTTCAAACAAAACTGACAAATTCCCATTTCCCGCTTAAGTTTCCATCAACCTCCATGTTTTAGCTCTCTCACGAACCACCGGAAAGCCATAAGAAAGGTCACACGCCAATAATTCACATCACCAATACCTCCCACATCCATATCAATATGATTCTGCGAGTAGGAACGCAGACTCAAATTTATCTCCTGTTTCCACAACACACATAAACCCCCTCTCGGTCCCCGACTCGGAACGGAGAAGACGAAATCAAAGTATAGTTTCAATCTATGTTTTTCCATGCTTATACCATTACTTTTGGTTTCGCACAGGAAAACAATATCAGGATCTTCACTGTATATATACCTTTGGAGTGCCTGAACTGCACGGAGGTTCCCAAGCCCGCTGCAGTTCCAACTAAGGCAACTCATTGAGACCGGCGGGATTGACGCTCGTCAGTCTCCTCCGATGAAGATCTAATACCTCCATTTGCGCCTTGAAACAAATGTAGGGAGAGCATCGTCATCCTCAGGAGTACACCGTTTCCTAACTCCTGGGGTAGCCTCCAACAAAGCCGGTCTCGACCTAGACACCAAAGATGCATCCTCACGCCGACTTGGTTTTAACAATTTTACGTGGCCTCCTCTTTTTCTGAAAATTACCCTCAATTATTGGCAGTAAATTGAAAGGGTCCGGCCCCAGAGTGAGCTCCCAGTGATTCGTCACTGCTGCACTACAGTCTGACAGAGGTTGCCACATATCTTCCAAAACCCCCTCTAGAACAATCTGTTTGTCCTTCATGATGCTAGATGCGGACAAAGCCCGCCCGCCTTCCATCTCCCCAAAACCAAACCTTCCATAGCTCGAAGAAAAAGGAGCAGCAGCTGACGGAGAATTTACATTAAGTCTAGCTGGCATTGAGACATGCTGGGACATAGTGGAACGGCCACATCACTAGTCAGCACATCAACACCAACCCCTTCTTTAAAAGTCGACGTCACTAGATCCGGAGAAATTATTAGATCATCAGTAATTGCGTTCAAATCCTGTTGGTCAACCATCATCTCATCTGTAAGTGGTAATTCATTTAAATCAGGCAATAAGGAAATATGGGATTGATTTTCTGCTGCAATCGGCGCCAAATTATTGTTTCCTTCCAAACTTCCCTCCGTACCATTAGGAACAGCCCTAGCCTTCTCGCCACCATGCTGATCTTCCATAACCCGCCAACTGTCAGCCCATCATCATCATCGGCCAACGGTGCCGTCATCCTCCAGGGTCGGGAACCTTCCAAACCAAACCGTTTGCCATGTGGTTTACGATAACCTTCACCATTTACATGTTCCTGAAACCGGCGACCATAAGGCTTAGCAAGATCATCAGCGTTCTCCTTTTTACATAGTTCACAAAGCTCTTCCATATGATCCATCATACCACATAGAAAGCATGTGGAAGGAAGCTTTTCATAACGTACTGCAACGTCAACAGCTTCATTCTCTAGCTTAATCAAAAGACTTCTACGGAGGGGTTTAGTAAAATCGATCACCGAACGAATCCAAGGGATACTACCATTTAGCTCTTGCTTCCTACTTTGATCAGTCACAACGTAATCTCCGATATGATTACCAATAAATTGACCCATCTGACGAGTCATGAAAGGAAGAGGTAGCCCTTTTACCTGCACCCAGAACTCTTGACGTTCGAGCGGGATGCTTGAAGGACGGGATGCTTGACTTTCGTTCTTAAAGTGAATATTATGCTTGTTGGGTTTAATAGAAACTAAATGGGATTTTATTTGGATGTTACACGTGCAAGTATACGAAGGAGTGGCTTTCTTTTAGTTTGGAAGAGTGGAAGGCAATTGAATTGGTTTAGAAGCGAAGAGATTTTTCAATTTGACTGGTACACGGGATGGTATAAATAGTAAGATATATATGCTAAAAAGTTAATAACTTAAAAAATAAAATTTCCTACCATTCCAATTAAAACACATGATGTATCACTTTTGTTCTCGTCACAATTAAAAATTTCTTGAAGTGTAGAAGGAATGTTTTATGCTTTACTGTGAAGGAAAGGAAAGTGGAAAGAAAAAGTGCAGATTCTTGCCCATGTTCACTTTATTTGTGTTTGGGAGAAATCACCACACAAGGCAGAAGAAAGGCGAGAAGGAGAGCAAATCCCGCCGGGAAACTGCAAATTCCGGCCAAAATCATCGGAATTCAACCTTAAGCCAAGAGATAAATTTAATCGTTTTCACATGGGCTTCATTTCTATGTAAGTGGTTCCTTGAATTCGTCACATACAGATTTGGGTTAACTTTATATTCTTGTTTGTAATCCGATTCGTGTAATATATGTCGAGGTTTCGAGCTGATGGCGTCGAACTGAGATCGTGGCAGTAAATTTTAGGCGTCGAAGACCAGTTTTGGAGGTATTGGGGTAAAAATCTAAAACCCTACCTTGATTTTATGAGGCTATGCTATTTGTGTGAACTGTTTTTTTGGTTAATTTTCCAAGTAGGGGCAGATTTGTGGTGGGTTGGTTTTGAAATGTTGAATTTTTTCGTTCTTATTATACTTGTTGGGTTTAACAGAAACTAAATGAGATTTTATTTGGAAGTTACGTGAGTAAATATATGGAGGAGTGGCTTTCTTTTAGTTTGAAAGAGTGAAGATAATTGAATTGGTTTAGAAGCGAGGTGTAGATCGAGAGATTTTTCAATGCCCTGGAAACATGGCCCGGCACACCAAGTGTCAAGACATAATCCGTTGGACGCTTAAACATTTAAACTTCTCCCCAATTATGTTATGACATAACTAAGAGAGAATACATACGATTTTCGACTCTTCGTATTTCGCCCTTGTATTGAATATGTTCACCAACCCTATGAGCTTCGATTTTCAACTCTTATAAATGCGTTTAGTTTTATAAGAGATCCTTTTCCAGTCCTGATATTTCTCTGTTAGTTGTTGCTTTGTGATGGTTCTTTATCTTTTGTTGTTATTCTTTGCAGTGGAATATCTTCCCTGTTAAGTCATGGATTCTAGAGGTGCTAAAGATATGTATTAGGGATTTCTTTATGGGCAAGAAACCTGATATTCTCACCTATAAATATAAGGCTTAGATTCCCACTCTTATACACAATATTCTAGCACAAATTCCTACCCCGTATAGGAGTGCATAAGGAGTGTAGAGAGAGAGCGGAAGATCTTGCTTGTTGCTGTGTTCGTGATTCATTCTTGTGCTTGAATTCAATGGCTTCTCAAGGTTAGTACTTTTAGTGTGCATATTATTATAGTTGAATTACAAATCTCACCGGAAAACTCCAAATTCCGGCCAAAATCATTAGAATTCAACCTTAAGCCAAGAGATAAGTTTAATCCTTTTCTCATGGGCTTCATTTCTATGTAAGTGGTTCCTTGAACTCGTCACATACAGATTTGAGTTAACTTTATATTCTTGTTTGTAATCCGATTCGTGTAATATATGTCGTGGCAGTAAATTTTAGGCGTCAAAGACCAGTTTTGGAGCTATTGGGGTAAAAATCTGAACCCTATCCTTGATTTTATGAGGATATGCTATTTGTGTGAACTGTTTTTTTGGTTAATTTTCGAAGTAGGGGCAGATTTGTGGTGGGCTGGTTTTGACATGGTGAATTTTTTTCGTTCTTATTGTACTTGTTGGGTTTAACAGAAACTAAATGAGATTTTATTTGGAAGTTACGTGAGTAAATATATGAAGGAGTGGCTTTCTTTTAGTTTGAAAGAGTGGAAGATAATTGAATTGGTTTAGAAGTGAGGTGTAGATCGAGAAATTTTTTAATGCATTGGAAAAACAGCCCGACGCACCAAGTGTCATGACATAATCGGTTGGACGCTTAAACATTTAAACTTCTCCCCAATTATATTATGACATAACTAAGAGAGAATACATACGATTTTCGACTCTTCTTATTCCGCCCTTGTATTGAAAAGGTTCACCAACCCTATGAGCTTCGATTTTCAACTCTTATAAATGCGTTTGGTTTTATAAGAGATCCTTTTCCAGTCTTGATATTTCTCTGTTAGTTGTTGCTTCGTAATTGTTCTTTCTCTTTTGTTGCTATTCTTTGCAGTGGAGAAGTTTTCCAGCTATACTCTTGATTTCCTGCATCAGTTGATCTCTCAAAGTTTCCAAGCAATGCCAGAGGACTGGGATTCTTCATCCTTGGTTCACCTCAATGTGGGAGGAAAGAAGTTTTCCACCACCGTCAGTACTCTAACTCAGCGTCAACCCGATTCCAATCTTGCTGCAATGTTTAGCGTTCCAAACACTTTGCGCCAAGATAAGAAGGGATATCTTTTTATCGATAGGGATGGCGAACATTTTCGGCACATTCTTAACTGGTTAAGAGACCGTAAGATTCCTATATTAGAAGCTTCCCAATATGCAGAACTTGTTATGGAGGCAAAATACTATCAACTACTAGGGTTACTTGTTGGAATACTTGATGTCCTTAACAGTAGGCAAGATAAGAAGTTGGATGCAGATTTTACCCGTGCCGAGGTTATCAACTACATACATTCAGGGAAGTGGACTAGAGGCCTGCGTAATCGTGTGCATTATTTTCGAGGGGTTAATCTTTCTGGCCTTAATCTTTCAAAACTGGACCTGTCAAATGTCGACTTCAGCTAATGCATGTCTGAGACACGTGTGTTTCTCAGGTGCAGATATTCTAAATTCTAATTTCAACGGCGCTGATGCTGAAGGTGCTACCTTTGACAATGCAAATTTGCGTAGTTCTACTTTTTCTGAAGCAAATCTTCGAGGAGCTTCTTTTGTGGGTGCTAAAAACTTCGATCTCGCCGGGGCATCTTGCGTGGAAGATTGTAAAGGGTTGATGTATCCTATGTTTGGCTTTTTGTGACCTACAAAGCCATGGCCCAGCGACTTGCTGAAATTCACGTTGAAATACAAAATGTAGAAAATGCTATTCATGATACTCGAAGAATGTTAAATTTTATCTGGAGGCATCTTCGCTCCGCGAACCCGGCTGCTTTTGAAGCCCGAATGGAAGCAAGCCGTCAAAGAATTCGGGAACTAGAAGAAAGACTCCAGGGACTACGCCAGGAGCAGCAAGCACTCATTGTGCAGGCTGTCACCCTCGGTGACCTCTAATTCATTGGTCTCTATTTTGCCAAGTTCGTTATTACAAGTGGGTCTTTGAAAGGATTTTACTATCGACTGCAAATGACGTTTTAATGCAATGACCAAAATTTAATCATGTATGTGTATTATAATGCTGGTTTGATTCTAATATACCTTATTATGTAAGCTTGTTCTTATAATACTTGTCGTCACGAATGTGTGAGCGCAAACTGATTAAAATTTGGAGTTCGAAGAGAAATTTTTAAACTTTCCAAATCAAAGGGTAATTTAGTAAATCCCATCAACTTGCATCGTCGTCTTCCTTGCGTGTAGGACCAGCTGTACCCAGAAGTACAGCCGCTGTTTCTTCATTTCCTCCTCCGTTTTGCTCTCCCAAACCAAATCTTCATATCTCCCTCATTTGGTCACCGTTTTCGACAAGTCTTATATCAAAGTCTAAGCCCTCTTCGAGCCCAACACGTTTTGTAACTCGATTTCCCCCAACAAACCACCACACAATGCGGAAGAAAGGCGAGAAAGGGAGCAAATCTCGCCGTAAAACTTCAAGTTCGGCCAAACTCATCGGAACTCGACCTTAAGCCAAGAGAGAAGTTTAATCCTCTTCTATTCGGCTTCATTTCTACGTAAGTGGTTCCTTAAATTTGTCAATTACAGATTTGGGTTAAATTTAGATTCTTGTTTTTAATCCGACTCGTCTAATTTATGAGGCTATGTTATTTGTGTGAACTGTTTTCGTTGAAGATCATGTGAAAATTAATTGGAATTGGAGGTGTTTGGTTAATTTTCGAAGTAGGGGAAGATTTGTGGTGGGTTAGTTTTGAAATGTTGAATTTTTACGTTCTTGAAGTGAATATTATGCTTGTTGGGTTTAACAAAAACCAATTGGGATTTTATTTGGAAAGTTACGTAAGTATATGAAGGATTGTCTTTCTTTTAGTTTAGAAGAGTGGAAAATAATTGAATTCGTTTAGATGTTTCAGTGTTATAGAACCATGGTCCGTACAGCAAGTGTGATGACATGATTGGTTATACTAGTTAGATCATCTCCAAATGAGATGTCAAACCTAAGTGGAATGCTATATAATCAAATTTGAAGGTAAAAACAAGTTTCAACTGATATGTCAATCCTATGTGGATTGACATATGAGTTTTCATATGTCAAATTCAACATATGAGAAAATGTGATGTCGAATGATTTTAATTATTATATTATGTAGACCCCATTAATGCATCAATTATATATCTTTGAAAATTTATTTTAATTGATTTCTTTTTAAAATGGGTCTACAAATATCATTTATAACAAAAAAAACATATCAGTTGGAAAAAGAGAAAATCTGACATTGCCACATTAGCCGTTAAATTAACATTTGACATTTATTTTTTGACATCTCCTTTAAAGATACTCTTACGTATATAACTATATTATTCAACTTACATTAGCTACGACTAGTGTATGACTAGATTTTCAGCTTACACTAGTTACCACTAGTATATGGAATTATATGCTATACCACCACTAAGTATCATTTTAGTATATATGCATGTATCATTTTTTCAGTTTCTATGACATGCTTAGCTTTCAAAACAAGAGGGTTAGTATGTTCAGAAAACAAAATGTTTGAAAAAAACCTTATTCTTCGTCCATACACACTTTTTTTTTTTTTTTTTGGCCCCTCAGTACTTAGTGGCAGAGATCATTTGACGTTGAGGCAAACTTGCGACAGCTATGATCAGTTGCCATCGAAGACTACTCCCTTATGTATATGCATGCACGTTATGGTTATGTCACCTTCTGGGTGGCGGCCAACACACCTCAATTTTAATGTTTATCTTAACATCGGATCAGAGGGTATCATTTAATGTTAACCATTCTTCATGACTGAATCTTAGAGTAACAGTAGCCCTTGTGACTGAATCTGTGTCGGAGATGCTATAAGGTAAAAATATTTTAAATCGTAGGTATTCTTTTCATTTATTTTCCATAAAAAAGTCGTGTCATTTAAATGTTCATATCAAAGTGGTGAACCAGTGCAAAAATAATTAAAGGTTCATATCAAGAGGGAATACATACGATTTTCGACTCTTCGTATTTCGCCCTTGTATTGAATCACTAACCCTATGAGCTTCGATTTTCGACTTATAACTGCGTTTAGATTTATAAGAGATCCTTTTCCGGTACAGATATTTCTCCGTTAGTTGTTGCTGCATAAATTTTCTTTTTCTTTTGTTGTTATTCTTTGCAGCAGAGAAGGTTTCAAGTTATACTCTATATATATATATATATATTTTTTTTTTTCGTTTGCGATTTTGATATTGTAATTCTCACTCTTAATTTCCTGCATCAGTTCATCCTTGGTTCACCTCAATGTGGGAGGAAAGAAGTTATGCACCACCGTCGGTACTCACTCAGCGTCAACCCGACTCCATGCTTGCTGCAATGTTCAGCAGTCGACACATTTTGCGCAAAGATAAGAAGGGATACGTTTTCATCGATCGGGATGGCGAACATTTCCGGCACATTCTTAATTGGTTAAGAGACGGCGAGACTCCTAAATTAGAAGATTCTCAATATGCAGAACTTGTTTAGGAGGAAAAATACTATCTACTACTTGATTTAGTTGATGGAATACTTGATGTCCTTGATAGTAAGGAAGATACTGCGTCGGATGCAGATTTGACACGCACCGACGTTATCAAGTACATACATTCACAGAAGTCGTGTAGATGCTCGTCTAATAAGAATTATTTTCAAGGGGTTATTCTTTCTGGCCATAATCTTTCAAAATTGGACCTGTCAGAAGTTAACTTCAGCTCTGCATGTTTGAGAAATATGAGTTTTTCAGGTGCAAATCTTCAATCTGCTAATTTCAAGCATGTGGATGCCGAAGGTGCTACTTTTGACGATGCCAATTTGTGTGGTTCTACTTTTTATGGAGCAAATCTACGAGGAGCGTCTTTTGTGGGTGCAAAAAGCTTCGATCTCTACGATCTCTCTGGGGCATCTGGTGTCGAATATTGTAGGCTCTGAACGTTATCCTCGACAGTGTTGATCATGTTAGAAATGGTTTTGGGAATCTCTTTACATTACATACAAATGCGACCGATGGATTATGCAAGGGCGTAAGCCAACTTCATCTTTCAGGTTCTACAAGATTTGATTTCTCAATAGCTCTCGAGTCATTTAGTGGTTAATGTATGACTTATGTCCTGTACTTGTGACCAACCACATTGGTCTCTATTTTGCAAGTTCGTTATTACACATAGTTCTTTGCCAGGGCTATCTTTGATATTTCGAGGGCCTGTGCTAATGTATGATCTATTTATGTCCTATATTTGTGACCGACCACATTGTTGTACCTTCAATGCATTGGTCTCTATATTGCAAGTTTGTTATTACAAGGTAGTTCTTTGATAGGGTAGTTTCTGAGATTCGGAGGCAGTAGCAAATTCAGAATTTTAAACTTGAGGGGTCCCAATAATAAAGGTAAAAAAATTTATAGATTAAAATAACATTTAAAAGTTAAATTATAATACATTTTATTGATGAATCATACGTAAAACAACATTACAAGCTATAAAATCTAATTCAAGCATCTACGACGAAGTTTCATAGTCTAAAAATGTTCCATTTGCAAATATGATCTTTGAACCTCATCTTGAATATTAGGAGGATAATCCTTCATTCAAATTCTTTTTCCAGAGTCTCTCTCAAGATTATTCAAATGAATATCACACTCATTTTGTCTTGAACTTGAACTATCCAAACAAATAGATTGTGATATTGGTTTTGGCTTGAATTTTTTTTTCCATATTTCTTACCTATACACTACATATTAATATAAAAAAACACAAAAACATATACCAATTAATCAATAAACAAAATTCCAATAATTAAATGAGTATACAAAAATAAAATATATCAATAATAGATTATAAAATCTCCATCAATATATAATATAATTTAGTTGAGATTAGATTAGAATACCAAAAAATCTTATTTGAATTTTGAACCAAATGGTGGTGGTGTGGAGATTTAAAACAAATTGAGATATGATATTGGAGTAAAATTAAAATATGAGATTGGGTGGGATTTTAGGATTATGAGAATTGGGAAATTGGGGATTGGATATGTGAAAATTGGGGGTTTGAGGTTTTGGATGGGGGAATGGATGGTAAGGTATGGGGATTCAGGAAGAGTGACGGAGGCCTTGGGGAATTAAAACAAAATGGAAGCAAACGGCAGTGTTTTGCCATTGTTTAAACTTAAAAAAAAAAAAAAAAAAAAAAAAAAAAAGTTTTAATCACTTGGCCAAATGTGCGTTTTGGGCCAAGGTTGAAATGGGCAAATTTTCTTTCTTCCTCTGGGCGGCCTTCTTCCCCATCATGACGCCACTGCTGCAATTGCACAGAGTTCGTCCAAGTACGAGGGGTCCCCGAAAAATTTCAAACAACCATTCAGGCGTCTTTGAGGGGTCTTGGGACCTCCTAGGTCCCTCTATGGATCCGCCACTATTCGGAGGCCTAAGCTAATGTATGATATATTTATGTCCTATATTTGTGACCAACCACATAGGTGTACCTCCAATGCATTGGTCTCTATTTTGCAAGTTCGTTATTACCAGTAATTCTTTGAAATGATCATACTAATAACGTATATAATATTGCATATGACGCTTTATTGCAGTGATAGAAAGTAATCATGTTTACGCACCATGGTGCAGGTTTATTCCCAATTCTTCTTTCTCCTAACAACTAACTAATTAACTCACTAACTCTATCACTCTCACGAATACAAAACCTTAACTCTCGATATAAATGCTACATAGTTGTACCTCCTAATCAAGATGATTTGAAAGTTTAGCCCCGGCCCAAAGTCAGCATTTTTCTTCCTTATTTTGTTTCGCAAATGCTCTTGTGCGGTGCTTAGATGCGCTATATAATTTCACTGTTATATCAAACCTGCACAGTTGAGATTAGAATGCTACAAAGAGTTTTGCGTAGAGTCTGGTCAAGTGAAACCCTAGTTGGCGAACCCATCTCTCTCTCTCTCTCTCTCTCTCATCATTCCCTTCAGTTTTAGATTTCTGATTTTCCTTTTCACCTAATTTTCAATTTATGAGTTATTACAGATAGTTCGAGTCGTAAGGAATTCCAATATATCATCAAATAACTGAGTTCCATTGCAATTAAAAGAATTCTCATAATAATAGTATCCAAGATCCATAATATAGCTCTAATTAGCAATGTCATTTACCATTACGTTTTTTTTCCTGATAGATCTGCATTAACTCGCATTTAGCTAATGTGTGTCATACATTTACCACTGATCAATAATGCTGTCAAGAGAATAAGAGCTTGTATGTCAACTGCAGGTTTCAATTTTTTATTTATAATTTTCATTAAACATGATTGTCGAGCGCGGAAAGGATTTCGGGAACGTTTTCGGATATTTTTCTGTTAAGTGACAATATTCATTACGAAAGAATGATATATTGCAGAGCATGACGTGGCGGGCTCAGACGCAGACAACACTTTTTTGGCAAAGGATCCAACGATAGATAGAAATCTGAATTGGACTGATCAAAACAAATAAAAAATGAAAAGGCATTTGGTGCGTGGCACTGGCAACCCTATATTTGAAGATGAACTACACAATCCGAACTGGGGCGAACGATTGCAAAAATAGGGTATAAGTGGTGGTTGTACTCACCAATTTACTTATTATTATTAGATAAATTTAAATTTTAAAATTTTTGTCTATTCATTATACATATATGAATATTTAAACTCATCTAACGATAATAATTATGGTAATAGGCATTAGTGAGACCTTTGACGTTCCTTTGCATGTGTTGTTACTGACAATAACCAAGAGAATGCATACGGTTTTCGACTCTTCGCATTTCGCTCTTGTATTTAATATGTTCACTAACCCTGAGCTTCTCTGTGCGTTACTTAATAAAATCGTCTTTAATTATCCTGTTCTTGGTATAAATACAAGTGCGTGCTGTAGGTTTAGTTTTGTAAGATATCTTTAATACTGATATTTCTCCCTTAGTTTTGCTGCATAAAGGTTCTTTTCGTTTGTTGCTGTTCTTTGTAGTGTAGAAGGTTTCAAGTCATACTTTTGTTGAATTTACCTCAAATGTGGGAGGAAGAACATTTTCCACCACCGTTGGAACACTAACACAGAGTAAACTTGACTCCATGCTTGCTGGAATATTTAGCAGTCGACAGACTTTGAGCCGGGATGAGAAGGGATATATTTTCATCGATAGGGATGGCGAACATTTCCGGCACATTCAAGGAAGTGGTATCGACACTCGGCTAACAAGCATTATTTTTAAAGGGTTAATCTTTCTGGCCTTAATCTTTCTAAACTCGATCTGTCAGTAGTTGACTTCAGCAATGCATGTCTGAGAAACGTGTGTTTCTCAGGTGCAAATCTTCAGCGTGCTAGTTTCAACCATGTGGATGCTGAATTGCTGCATTTGACAATGCGGATTTGCTTGTACTTTTGTTGGTGTGAATCTGCGAGGAGCTTCTTTTCTGGGTGCTACAAGTATAAAACTTCAATCTCACTAGGGCATCTTGTGTGGAAGATTGCAGAGGGGTTGGTTTATGTATCTGCTGTTGGTGGATGGAATTTGGCTTAAGGATTAGTAGATTATGTTTTGCAGAATAAAGTACTTTCACGTCTGTTTTTTTGTAATTTGGTCTTTTATTTTGTTTTTATTTAATGCGTCGTATCATGACCAGTGCTCGAGAATGAATATGGACTATTAAAATTTTTAACTGTATATTGCATGAACAGCTCTACGAGGATCTTATTACCGCAAAGACATAAAATAATATTGCTTAATATTAGAAAAATGCTAAGGAGACTTGAGACACCGTAAATTTTTCGTCGTCTTATGTTTTTAGCACAATATTATAATACATGTGATTCCATTGTCCTTTTAATTATTAAAATTAATAATTACAATACCTAAATTCTCGATATAAATACTATGCCTAATTAGATTATTAGTCTTGTGGTGATAGAGTAGTTGTAAGATAGCCCTTATGATAAAAATAAATAAATAAATAAAAACTAGGATTTAAGCCTCTGTGATGAAATCCGTTAGGATTTAGACTCAAAATTGAAAATTATGTCAAACTCTCCGTTAATTGTATCAACTATGATCTAAACCCTAACAATTAATGGGGAGTTCTGTTTTAGCTTAATACGTGTGGCTCCGTTAATTGTTAGCACATGAGCTACACATTTTAAACTAAAACAAAACTCCCCATCAATTGTTAGGGTGTAGATCCTAGTTGACGCAATTAACGGAGAGTTGATGGAAGGGAGATTTTATTTAAACCCATTTAACCTCTTTCTACACCCAACTTAAGTTTTAAATTTTAATTGTCTATTTTACCCTATATTGCATAATTACTATTAAGTACAAAATGAAATTAATAATGAAAATTTATCAATAGACCCACATTCTATAATTAAACCCTAGCATCGCCATTTGTTTATCCTTTTTAGAGCATCTCCAAAGGATATATCAAATATGGTATGTCAAAATTTTATTTGATGATTGATGTGGCAAAGTGAATACAAGTGTTAAATCTTCTTCTTTTCCAATGGATGTGTCAAATATTTATTTTATTATTTTATTGGACCTAGAGTTACATTAACTATGAAAAAATAATCAAAATTAGTTTTAGTTTGTATTCTATTGGTTGTTAATGGGACTCATGCATTAAAAATTAAATTAAATATATTTGACTCATTTGTTTGCTGTCAAAAAAGGCGACTAGAAAGCAAGGAGTCAAATGACTCACATGCCACATCATATATGGCACATCCATTGGAGAACACTTGAATGTCTTTTAATCCTATTTGGCATATTTGACATCTCCTTTGGACTCCTTTGGAGATGGTCTTAATCCTCCAACTAAGGTATGACTCGATTTATAGATATTTTGTTTGTTTGCTTCTTCTTTGGATTAAATTTCATACTTTCTATATTATATTGTATTTGTTTTTCTCTGTCGTCTGTATACGCCCTAAAACACCAATGCAAGGACTTTTGATTAGTACTGCAAAGACATAAAACTTGATTCTTGGTGCAAATAAAGATTGCTCAACCTTAATCACGAACTAGCGGGTGGTATGTCTTGCACCTTTTTTATTCGAAATAGCTCCAATTTGTTTATTTGTTTATTAACATAGCAGCAAAACACCCAGCCCTATGTCACTTCAAAGTTTCTTAAAAAGTACATGAATATGCTCGATTTAAAAATGACTGAATTGGAGCTTGCATAACATTCTCTTGGCAAATTCAAGTCTATGGAATGATCTCTTGGATAGGGTTGTGGTAGCCAAAAGAAAAAAAAGTAGACATGGAAATGCTAGTCCTATACAGCATATGTAATTATAGGGGAACAAATGACGCCTCTTTGAAAAGAAAAAAACAAAACATTCAATTAGAGATGTTATTTTATAAAGGGAATGGATGTAAAGATAATTTTACATTTTGAATTGAATTTGAGAGGATAGTTTAGGTAATAAATTTGGGTTTAAAGAGGTATTAATTCTTTAATAAAAAACAATATGGGTGAACAGAGTAAGTTGGCTGTAGAAAGATGTTAGATGAGTTCAAATAAAATTTCTCTTGATAGAAATTTTAATTTTGAACCTAAATCCTAATAGACTTCACTAGAAAACTTAAATCCTAATATATTTTTTTTTATCATAAAGATTATCTTCTAACAACTCTATCACCACGAAACTAATAATTCAATTAGGCCTAATTACTACGATGGTTCACATTCTTCACAAAATGATCGCCCTAAGATGATCCTAACTCCATGAGTGCTAGTTTTGCCATTTTTGTTTTACCAAACTCAAGATTTTATAAAATTCCGAGTTGAAAATTACTTAAAATGAATGTAGTGCGGAGGTGACGTATACGCCATTACTGATTTTGTATAATTTCATTTTCATGCCTTTATTTATTCCTCTTCTTCCCAAAAAGTAAATACCAAAAAAATCAAATCTTCTGAGTTTCAAAAAAAAAAAATTACAGAGCTGCTGATCACAAAAAATTGACTGAAAAACAAGCTCGGCCACCATTTCTTGGTAGAAGGGGGAGGAAAATTGGAAGGAGCTAGGGTTCTCAAATAAAATTGAAAATCCGATTACACAAATTGGGAGCTGGGTTGGAATGAATCGAATTCGAAATTCGCAAATTCCAGAAAGTAAAGGTCAGAATTTCAGCTGTTCTTCCCCAAAAGACCGAATCTGTTTTTTTTTTTGTTGTAAATTTTGAATCTCTGAATCTTGGGGTGTGAGAAATTTGGGAGGATCAGAACAAAAGGAGGTGATTTTTGGGTGTTTCGATTTGTATGAACAGTTGGTGGTTGGTGGGTAACCGCCATTTGAGCTCAATTCTGTGAATTTGCAAGGTACTGGAACTTCCAATAACTCTAATTCAGCGATGCGCTGAATCTCTGTAGGTTAATTTGTAGAAGTAACTTGTATTTGATTTTTCTAAACACAATAAAAATATGCATGCCCGGAATCGGAATCCTGGAAACGGGTACAGGTCCAATTCCATGGGGATGGGCATGGTTCCCAACTCTCGAATCTCCCCAGAGGGTTCTATGAGGGGGCATGGCTTTTACAACTCGGAACACCGCAACTTCAATCGGGGTTTTGGCCGCCCGAAGTCTTTTCAACCCCCACCAGCTCCTCCACCACCACCACCTCCTCCACCTCGCAAAGGTGACATCTTTATGGAGGCGGGGCGCCTCGCGGCGGAGTATTTGGTAGCTCAGGGACTGCTGCCTCCGAATGTGCTATCTGCTAAATGGCAGAACTCCAAGAAGCAAGTGGGGGAGTTTCAGGAGGCTGATCAGTTGCAAATTGCTGAAGAGGGCCGGACTTCGGCTCTTGCCCGGTTGGGGAATTCGGTTTCGGATGGAGGGTCAAGAAGGGGAAGGTTTGGTGTTGATGAATTCAGCAGCAATGCAAGGAATCAGTTCAAGGGAAGGAGGAGAAATGCAACTGGATCGAATAGGGGCGGTTATGGCTCTGATTGGGGTCGAGAGTCTGGCAGGACTGGCTCGTTCACTGATAGGCACAGTATGGCTTCCTTTTATATGGAGGGTGATGAAGGTTCGGTATCTGGACAGCATGAGGAGCAGAAGGTCAGTAAAGATGTTGGTAATAATGGATTGCAACAGAATTCTAGTCCAAGCGAGTTGGGACCGAAGAGCGAGGATGCAGTGGATTCAGAATCTAACTTGGACAAAGGTCAAAACCCTGATGAGGATATGAGTTCAAAGCCAAGTTCTGGAGCTTGGATAGATGGTCCAACTGAAACAGATGAAGTTGGTGAGGAAACCACCAAGGTATCTGATATAGAGATTAAGGATCAAACCACCAATGATGAAACCGAGAAAAATAATGTATCGGAGAACTTACCAATTCAGCTTAGCGTTTTGGAGGCTGAGGGTGAGGGCGATTCTTCAGGAAAGAATGATACTAATTTGCTGACACTCTGCAAATTTGCCAAGGTGCCCACCAGAACACGCTCGTCGTTGACTTCTAGGGGTCCAAAGGTTGATCCAGTTGCAAATATCCAGGAGGGGAGCACCTCTGACAATGCTGTCCAACCGGCAGATTCTCAAGTTTTAGTTGAAAGTTGTTCCCTTGATGTTTCTGCAGGTGCCACTCTATCACACAAAACTCCTCAGGATAATGGTCTCAACCCTGAAACTTGTAAATCTCAGTCCAGTCAGCCTGCTGAAATTTTGGTAGAATTAGATCCTGCATATGGTATGGAGCAAAATAAATATGGAAGATCCCAGTCTTTGCCAGGTAGAGCTTTTGTTCATGAAAATGAGCAAGAATCAAGTCAGGGACCAGTAGGGTTTGGGAGTTCCAGCTTTGTAGCTAAGGAAAGAGGTGACAAAAGGGATTTAGAAGAACATGATAAGCTGGAGGGAGCAAAAAAACCGAGAAAATGGCTTCCTTACATGGTTGCGGACACAGATGAGTGTTTCCAACTTTCTAACTTGAGCGAAAAGAAAGAAAGTTCGCAGGAAGAAAACGGTTCTCCTGGTGAACAGGTAATTATAGCTTTTGGTCATGAAAGCTCGGTAATGAATGATTCCCATTTCCAAAAAGATAGACGTGAAGCCTGTATTGATTATGTGCAAGAAAAGCAGCTTTTTCCAAATTCATTCAAGATTTGCGACCTTAATCTCATGGATGCACATGAGAATCGTGACAGTGATCATGCAATAGATTATCCACCTGTTTCTGGAATAAAGAAAGAAGCTGAACCTGTTGATATTGATTTGTCAATGAGTAACTCCAACGTGTCTGGTGAAAACAGTAGATGCACTACCGATGTTAAAGAGATTGAAATCATAGATTTAGAAAGTGACTCCATCCAAGAAGAGACCTTCAACACTGCTGAAAGAAAGTAAGTTTTTCCTAGTTGCATTCCGCTGCATGAGCATTGATTAAGTTCTCCCTTTAATTTAAGTTCTTTCTGAGTGTGTCAAGTAAAGCTGATAGTAGTTTGTACTTTTATATATCTTTCTGAATTTCTTTGACATGTATTTATGTTTCTGATTTCATGTTGTTCAAATATACAGGACAGAGACTGAATTTACTCCTCTGGTGGGCTTTTCCAACCATGCGCAGAATCCTAATGATATCCCCGATGTTCAAGATGGTTATGGGCTTATGATTTCAGAGTTGCTGGGAACTGATTTCCCAAATTGTTCAACGGCACCAGGGGATCTTAATCCATTGCATAACGAAATTGTCCTTCATAACGGAGAGGTACTGACATTTGTTGCTCGATAAAGTTGTTAGTTCAGCAGATCCGAAACTTATGCATGAATCCATTGTCCTGGCGGTTATTTGGTCTCAAAAGCATATGCATGGATTACTTGAACTTATACAACTGCACACATGCTTGTATTGCATAATTGTTCCCATGTGGTCTTTGTCCTTGGCTGCTTAATGGAAATGCACTGCTATGTAATTTAGCATACAGTACACAACTGATATTTCTGTTTTTTTTTTTACTGATTGTTTCAGGAAGCTCTTGCTGACGATGATTCGATATACATGGCACTGGGAGAAATACCATTAAGTATGCCACCTTTTTAATTCACTGATTTGTTTTCTAATGAATCTCAAATACTTGTCAAGTTCTGCTAGGATGGTGTTGGATATTGTGTGTGTGTGGTAGAACATGTATAAGGTTACATGCCTTGTACCACCTACCTACAACTTGGTACACAAATGTCCCGATATTTAATCGATTCTGACAGCATTTGTCTGCAGAATCTTACAATGAGTGGAATAAGTAGTTTTCTTTCTCAGGCTTTTAAAACTGTTTCACTACGGTGACGGTGGTTGAAAGTCTTGAGGGAGATTTTTCCTTTCCTTTTAACTGCTTATCTGTTTGAATGTGTTGCATGCACACTTGAATATGAGATAGGGGTGGGTGGTGCAGGTGTGACATATAAACCTTGAAAAAGTTATTTGAATTCCCTTTTAAAGGCCGTTTGAAATTTAAAAGTAATACCGATAACTAAGTTACGAAAACACATGTCCATTAATTTACTGTAAAAAATTCAGAGACCTAAGAATCATTATATGGTTTGGGAATCACGACCTGAAGGGTTATGATGTTAAGGTCTTGGGTTGATCAGCATATTTTGCAACTAGGACTGGAACAAATACTGACTTGTGGGTTTTCGGTTTCCTCCGAAATCTAGGAAGTGCAGCTTATTTCATTTGTGTTTTGTTATGCATTTACCTTTAGTTGTATTGTTATGACTCTTGTGACAACAACGCGCCTGCAGTTTCTTATTTTATAGGTCAAAACTTTGTTCCTCTTTTAAAAATACTTCTCCATTCGTTTAATTTGCATATCTAATACTTCTTAAATTACCTATGCAGCCTTTTTGAGACCCTGGGAGCAGCCAACCCCGCAGGAGTATGAGAAGCCCTTTTGATCCAGCCATTCATAATATTGCTCGGATGTATAATTCGGTATGCTTAGATCATTTGGGGTTCTTTTGTCCCACAATTAGCTCTATATAAGTGACAATCTTTGCTTTGATTGCTTTTTACTTTTTTTTTTTTTTTTTAGTTTGTTAAGGGTGCAAGTAAATCTCTTCCTCTGGTAGGAAGTTTAAGGACGTTGAATGCTTTTGATTTTCTGTTACACCTCGCTTTTAACATGAAACATTTTAACCGTGTTGATTCGCATTTGGCGGTAATGGTTGAAGACCCCATTTGTTATTCCCCATTGACGTAACAGATGGATGTTGCACCTTGTTCTTACATGGAAAATGTTTATAGTGTTGATTGTCAAAAATGGTAGAAGAACTATCCGCCAATTTTCTTGCTGACTAAACATCTATCGACTCTAACAAGTTATGTATTAGGTATTAATACGCAGTAATAATCAACTCTATTGAATATTCAAAAACTTACTTGCAACTGGACAAAAAATTGACAATGTTTCGTTTTATGGTTTGTCACTTGTCATACTAATTAATTCTATTTTTTTTTATTTTTTTTTATTTTTATAGCTTGTCACTTGCATCTGAAAAATAAAAATAAAATAACTAGAATTCGATAGGAGACGTATATCACTCAAGTAGATATGTAGTAGAGACCACAAAAGGTTTTGAATGCAGAAGATTAGAACTCAAGAGAATGTGGGGTAGCAAAAAACGCGAGAAATTTTTATGTTAGGCCGCGTGCATGCATGCTATGTAACATTATGTAAGCAAAGGGACACTTGAAATTTTTTTTTTTTTTAGTATAATAACATATGGCGTACTGTTTTATGTTCTCGACACATTAAAAAATCTCTCCAAGTATGCACCCTCCATATCCTTTGATCATCGTAGTTGATGTATAATACTTGGTTCCAACAAGCTATACTTTGAAAGAGAGGAGAGAAATGAATATGAATGTTTGAAACAAAATTTGAAAATATGAAAGTGAGAACAACGTAGTTAACCGTTTGTTCTTACATGTAAAAGAACTTTTCATCTTTAGTTTCATTTTGTGTTCCATTCCAAATTAATTTTTCAACATCCCTTTATATTTTAACAACAATATATATTAAACCTTTAGTCGTAAGTTGTTTGAATCTAATTTCGAACGTTATCCTACAAATATTAGCCACTTTTACTAACCTTGTATATTTTAAACATGACCTACTTTTACCCAACCGTTGAAGGATTTTGCTTTATACTAACCTTCTCGACAAATTTGTTGAACGACTGTTCACCAGTGTAAACGACTATATAGTGAACTTATCACTTATATGTGACTGCACCATTTTGTGCCTTTTTAGTAAAAAAGCACAAATAAAAATTGTACATGAACCTAGATATTAGTAGGTTTGTTATATCATTGAGTTTATAAATTTCAAGTCAAAATAGTCACGTAATATAGTTAATCCGGTTGTTGGACATGCTGGTGACATGGGGACGTAAAAAGGGGAATATAATGAAATAGAGTTGTTTTGAGGTACCCTATGAAATTAGGCATAAAGCGAAGCCACTACAAAGAAATTCTGAAAGTTACAAAGAAAACTTCGAGCTCACATCGGTCAAGCTAGACCTCTCCCAATAGTATCTAGTAGAAAGACCTGTTGAAACTGCGTGTCTCGATTCATAAATCCTCGACATGAACTAAAAACCAGAGTAGGAATATTGGTATGTGGTGACATTTTAGATGTTGTAAATTTGTTGGCACTCTGTCATAATTCAATTTGGAATTATCCGAATTATTAAGAGAGGGGGAGAAAAGATAGGGTTAATATTTTGTGGTGTTGGAGATGGATAAAATCATAAGAGGGCATAATGTTGCATGTCCTTGTCAAACTATGCAATGCCAGGCGTGGTTTCAACTGTTTCTTGTCATGAAGAGGAGAAAAATTTGCATGTTTACGTAAAAACAGCCCTTTTGATAATGACATTATTATTATTATTTAATGTTCGATAAACGAAAATTTGTCGAAAAGACTTTATGTTCGTTATTTTGTATTTTAGTTTGAATCTTTCGTTTGATTCAAAGTAGTGTTGGAGACATGCAATGGTAAAAAGAAACAACAAAACTTTCTCCACCGACGCTTCATTTCTTACGTGAAATTGACGTCCAGCCTCCAAATGCTTATTTGGCTTTTTCAAATTGGATTAATGGTTTCCGTATTGATAGAGTATTCAAAAGATAGTTATGTCGTTCTGCCCAACTGTCAATTCTTATGTAAAATTGATGCCTAGCCTCCAAATATGTGAGAAGGCTAACAAAGATAATAAATGTGTGAAAGTCTGGATAAAGATCCGAGAGGAGATTCAATTACACAGACAAAGACACGAAGATCATTAATCCGATTTGACCCTTTGCATTTGACAAGGAGATGGTCTTATAATCAATGTGACTTAGCTAGGTTAGTTGATTGTTAATCAATTTACACTAGTTCAAATCCACCACCCAACAAATTACATAACCTAGATCATATCTCAAACGCACCAAACGCTTCACTAAATAAATCTATGTTAGTCTATTTTAAGTCAGTTCAATTAACTTCTGAAGCTAATTCAATCCGAATTTGTCCGATGCAACAAACGTATCTTATACTCTAATTCAAACCCCCATCCGATAAATTACATAATTTAGAATAATTTGTCTATCTCTTTGCTCAATTATTTCTTTATTAATTATCAGTTTGCTGACTTTGGTTCTAGATATTAAAGCCGGTCCATATGGACTGGACCATATCATGGCAATAGCATTTTACTTTCAAAGCAAAAGGAATAGAAGAAGCAGAGGAGATACGACGTCGTTGGGGGTTACGCTGGATCGTGTGAGAGAGGTTTGCAAGAGTCGTCCGACAGAGAGACAGCGTTAAACAAAAGTACACGTGGCCCTATTTTATAACGTTAAAAAAAATTATTTAAAAAATATAATCAGATCTCTTCGGTGTGTGTTACGTTGCTGTGGGACCCACTGGCTTGGAATTAACACCAGACATCTAAACCGTTCCATCGCTTTCGCGGTTTCTTTTTATTTCGTGATTTTACTTGGTCATTTGTTGTTCTTGTTTTACCGTAAAACAGTAAATATTGTTTCTCTCTTCTTTCAAATAACCTAACAGTCACGGTGTAAATTAAGAAAAATTTATAAAAAGGGTTTGAAAATTTTAATTTTTAACGATAAAACAAAATAAAGGATAAAGTGAATAGTACCATGATTGACTGTTTAGTATAAAAATTTGAACTTAATGTAAAAATTTAATTTTTCGTTAAAGTTCGCTATAAATTATCCAGAAACGTTTAATTGGGCAGGCCTAAAATCATATTAAACAGGTGTCTTATTCCTTTCTATCATGATTTCCATGCAGTGATACGGCTTATAAACAATCGTGGCATGTGGGAGGGTTTGAAATATTGAAATAAAATTGCCCTTAATTGATCAGAAATGATTTCTACACATTTTGTTTCATTAATTTTTTATACTCACCATTTGATTTAAATGGTTAAAAATTATTATAAAGCGTGTGCATGTGAAAAAATGATGCGTTAAAATTAATTCTTGTCAATTTATTTTCTTCTAAAACTTTTACATCTTACATTCTTGCGGGAGGATTACTTTGCCGACATCACCGAAATGGATTATGGGGCCTGCTGACTGACCTAATTGTGACTGCGAGTGCTTGGTAAAGAAAATTAGAAACTAAATCGGTTAATGTCGACAAGTGCCAACCTATAGCTTAGCTATAAGTGTATATGTAACAATTGTACAAAGTTTTTAGGTACAAAGCTGATGAGATGTAACAATGGCTTGAATTATATAGGACAACATATATATATCTACAGTGAATCAGTGAGAAAATGTTTCATTCACTTTCAACCTAGATTGGAGTGTAATCGTTTTTAGGGTTTTGTCATGTATGAAAACTAGCTTTCACATTTGCATTCTCTCTCCTTTCGGCTGAACTTCCTTGACCTACATGCGTCCCTGCTGCAACTCGACTTCCTCCATCACAAAGCCACCTACTCTCATCTTCCTCCATCCTCATTTTGCTGCTTTTGAATACAGGGAGTAATACATAAGAAGCTAGATTCAACTAATTTTGATTAACCATCTATTTTAAAGGAGTAAGAAGAAGGTAATTGTGAAAATGAAGAGAAAAACTTGCATGCATGGATTGTTAGTAACTTGTGTCACACATTTAAGTCAAGTCTAACTTATATAATGTTGTATTTAGCGTGCATGCCGCACACAACGAGTGCATGTAAGTTTTTTTTGGATATTTCTGCCCCTGCTTGATGCGTAAAAAAAAAGGTATTGATAAGAACTTTTTCTTTTGAATTGAAACTAAAATCAAACCCCTTAAATCAAGACAAAGCTTAGTAACCATCTGACCTAATATTTGGCTCAGCCTTCAAAACCACTCAGCTAGGCTTTATGATCAATGACTCACCGCCTTGATCTATTCAAAAAAGCTTACCACTTACATTAGCCTTAAATAAAGATCACTATTGATATATTCTATTCCTTTTTCTAGTAATTGCTTTCCCTGTTGAGGAAAAAGCCTTCAGCAATCGGATAGGATGAACTACATAGCTTTAGCTTTCAAGCCAACAAGATTACTCTATTTCACAACGTCTGGGTGAAGTCACCGAAATAAGGCCAGGTAGTGAAAAGAACAAGTATCTAAACAAAGTATAAATAAATGAGTTGGTCTTTAATTTGGTCCTAGCTAGTTGCAATTGCTCTTCCACCTAATTTGATGCAAATGGATGGTATTTAATTAATCTCGGGGAGAGAGGAGGGGGGAGGGGGTTGGGGTGGGTCTGGTGGTTACAGAGATTAAGGGATGTGACATCCACACACTCATTTTTACTTCTCACACACCTTTCTAATTTTCGGCCATTAAATCGGATGAATTGAAGAAGATCAAAGAACATAAATTAATAAGGGGTGTGTGAGAAGTAAACAGGAGTGTGTGGATAGCACATCCCCAAATTAATTATTGGAATACAAAGACGAGTTGAGGGTCAAGTAAATAGAGTTTTTATAAGTTTTTGCTGTGTTTGTTCATATGAAGTCTTCTTGTTTTTTTTGGTAGTGCAATCCACATAATCATTTTTATCTTCTATATGTACACCCTTCTTAATTTTCGGTCGTTGAATCAAATAAATTGAAGATTACTAAATGACATAAATTAAAAATGGTGT